GTAGGTGGAATGTGGGTGGCAACAGTGCAGTTAAAACTTTCTCTAGGGGTGGCATACCAGTGGAAGCAACTGCCCAGGCTGCTGGGACAGTCCTCCTTATTTGAAAAGTACAAAACAGTGGAAAACAATGGAATTGGTGGCTGTGGCTGGGAATAATAGACCCTTTGGAAAAAGACAAAGGCTGAATGAGGGTGATTAATTAGCAATTAAAGGCTAAATGGTAGGCAGTCAAAGCAGACACAGGGAGCAGCTACCTGAGGTAGAGGGCCAAAGGAAGGAACAAAATTGGTATGACTTGGCCAATTGACATTCACTAGCCTCTGTCATCTGCTGTCTTAGCACAGGCACCTTAGGCTCTTTCATGGGGCCCCACAGCGTGGTGCTCCCACTCACCAGGGCTGATCTGGCTATTGCCTCTGCTGAAAGTCCAGCCTTCCAACAACAGAGGCTTCCTTGGTAGCCTATAGAGACCACCTGCAGCCACAGGCCCAGTGCTTAGTCCCATCCTAAGACTTGTAGAGCTCCAGAGAAGGTTGAATTGTCAGCCCTGGCAGATGTGCTACCGCAAGGTCAGGGTCTTGATCAGGAAGAGGGTCCAGACCCTGAGATATGGGTTGGGGACATCTGGATTGGTGCATTCACATCTTGAATCCCAAATACCTCTGGACCTGCAGAAGTGGCTAATCCTCTCTATTATAGACTAGCGCCCCCCAGCCTCCACCCTTGCTTGAAGAAAATGCAAGAGGTTTCTGTCTTGAAAAGTAATACATGCTCATGCTCAGGAACTGCTGCCCCCTTCCCTCCTGGCCGTTAAGTCACAACATGACCTGGCCAAGAGGTACTAGTCCTGTTAAGGGGGTGTATGAGACATGGGCTAATCAGGGAACAGAAAGCATATAATTTGAGCAGGGAAAGTTTAAAGCATTATTAACTAGTAATGGGATTAGCTACCAAGGAATTGAAGAGAACTCTAGAGAATACAGTCAAAGCAGACACAGGGAGCAGCTACCTGAGGTAGAGGGCCAAAGGAAGGAACAAAATTGGTATGACTTGGCCAATTGACATTCACTAGCCTCTGTCATCTGCTGTCTTAGCACAGGCACCTTAGGCTCTTTCATGGGGCCCCACAGCGTGGTGCTCCCACTCACCAGGGCTGATCTGGCTATTGCCTCTGCTGAAAGTCCAGCCTTCCAACAACAGACCAAATGCTAAGTCTTCAATAGTACCATCCTTTGAGGAGAACAATCAATCACTTGGTGGCCAGTTGACAACACTGAACCCTTTATGCCCCCAAAGGTGCAGTGATTCATTTTGACTGGAATAAACACATATTCCAGGCATGGGTTTGCCTTTCCCATTTGCAGGATCTCAGTGCGCTCCATTATCCAAGGCTCACAGAACAATTTCGCTGACACAGAATCCCACATAGCATCACACTGGACATAGGGACCCACTTTCCAGCAAAGGAGCTGCAGTGGGCACATGACTGTGGGATCCACCAGGTTCCCTTAGCCACACACCAGAAACACCAGCCTGATAGAATGGTGGAATGGCCTGTAGCAGGCACAGCTCCGGTGCCAGCTTGGAGATGACACCCTGCAATGATGGAGCGGTAACCTCCAGTGTGTAGGATACACTGTACATCAGTGACCATTACAGGGTGCAGTGTCTCCCATATGTGTAATTAAGGGGTCTGGGAACCAAAAGGTGGAAGTGGGAATGGCCCTGCTTACCATCACTCCCAGTGCCCCACTCAGTAAATTTGTGGTTCTCTCCCCCTATACCTCTGGGTTCTGTAGGTTTAGTCTTGACTCCCAGAGGGGAAACCTGCTAGGGACACAGGAAGAGTACCATTTGGTTTCAAGCTATAGCTGCTATCCAGTCATTTCAAGTTCATTATGCCGAGAGACTGGCAGGCAAGGCATGTAATCTCCATCCTGCTAGGGATGACCTCCTGGTCATCACATCAGAAGTTAGGGCTGCTGTTGCATAATGAGGACAGGGAAGCATGTACTTGGCACCCAGGTGATATGATTGGGCACCTCTCAGTCCCCTGCCTAAATTTGTTGGCAAATGGAGCAGCCGTGGCCTGAGAAGGATATGGTGACTAGGGGCTTACACCTCTCTGAGATGAAGGTTTGGGTCACTCTATCAGGTAGGCTACCTAGACCAGCAGAGGTGCTAAGCCAGGGTGAGGCAACCTTAGAATGGGTAGTAGAGGAGGGAAATGAATCATTTGAAACTTTGAGACCAGCTGCAGCAACAAGGAGATGCAGTTTATCCCATTAACCTTCCTTTTGAAAGTTTCCCCCAGGAAGGGGCCCGCCAGAATCCTGAAGGAGCTGCCCCAGAACATATGGGAAGCAAGTGGCTGTGAGCAGCACAGTATAGTGAATGGTAGTGTAGGACTATAGTGAACACTGTGGATGCCCAGACCTCCTGTGTTCGGACTAAACCATTCATTGCCCCAGCTGCTGGGAGTGTTGCTGGCTGGCTGCTCACAACACAGCCCCTCCTGGTGATTGCCTCAGCTGCAAAGAGTTTTTTTGTCCTAGGGCACACCCCTTTCCCAGGAGCAACCAATCATTGGACTGCTTGGTGCTGGGGTATAAAGGCCCAGCTCCTTTGACCCAGCGGAGGACAACTCTGCAGAGCCATGCCAGGTCCAGAGCAGGCCTTTGTAGGCACTGCATATTGACCCAGTCCTCCTCCTTTTCCCTACAGACACTAATCCTGAAAGCACTCCCCAATAACCTTTCTGAATGCAAGACTTCAGCTCCGAGTTGGCCTCCCGGGGACCAGACCTGTGCCAGTGTGTGTGTATAACGTACTCATAAATGTACATAAATGGGGAGACTTGATCATTGTTTTCAAAAATGAGATCATATTTTCACAGATTTCTGCATCTTCAAGTCAACTGGTGTGGCTGTAAGTCATTCTTTTCAATGGCTACGTGCTTCATGGTGTGGATGCTACATAATTTATTCATCGGCTTCCCCCTTGATTGGTGTCTACTTTGCTTTCAGTCCTTTGCTATGAAGCAATACTGCCATAAACGTTTTGGTTTAAACTTATTTACTGTTGCGTATATTTCTATGAAACAGATAGCTGGGAGTGATGTTGGTTGGTTAGATGATTTATATATTTTATATCTCTGTTTGTTTTTATTGAGGTTTCATACACACACACACACACAAAACACATATATCCTAAGCTTATAGCTCAAAATTTCACAATCTGAACACCCTTGTAACCTTCACCCAGATCAAGAAACAGAATAGTAGTAGCACCCTAGAGGCCCATCTCTGCTCCCTTTGGGTCCATCCTTCTCTTCTCGACTCCCGAGGGTGATACATGTATTTTTAATTTTAATAAGTCGTGACAGTTTGCTTTCCAAAAAGATTCTAGCTATTCACATTTGTACCAGCTGTGCATGAGACTACCTCTTCTCCTCCATCTCCAATTATATTTAATTTGTATTTCTCTGACTACTAGTGAGTTTGAGTATTATATCATGTTTATTTGCTTTTTGGATTTGCTATTTTGTGTATTGCCTCTGCCTATCTTTTGCTCGTTTTTCTGTTGAATTGTTTGTCTTTTTTGGTTAACGTATAAGAACTTGTTGTAGGGCCGGCTCCGTGGCTTAGCGGTTAAGTGCGTGCGCTCTGATGCTGGCGGCCCGGGTTCGGATCCCGGGCACGCCCCAAGGCACCACTTCTCCGTCCAACGTGAGGCCGAGACCCACGTACAGCAACTAGAAGGATGTGAACCTATGACATACAACTATCTACTGGGGCTTTGGGGGGAAAAAAAAAATGAATAAATAAAATCTTTAAAAAAAAAAAAAAAAGAACTTGTTGTATAATAGCGGTGTTAACCCTTTCTCATTTTAGTTCCAAATAGTTTTCCCACGTATTATTTTCTTTCAGAAGTGGTGATAGTTGTACTATCCCTATTTATTAATCTGTCCTTTTTTACTGAATTGAAATACCATCTTTGTTGTATATTAAAGTCTCATAAGTCCTGGGGTCAGTTTCTGGATTGTCTGTTCTGTTCTAGAGATCTTTTTGTCTATTCCTATTCAAATACCATGTGGATTTGATTATAGTGGCTTTTATAGTATGTTCTGATAATCTGGCAAGGCAAGTCGTTTATTTATTTAACTTAACTGTCTTGTCTATTTTCAGATATTTAGTATTTCATATGTACTCCAAAATTATTTTTTCAATTAAAAGAGCCCTATAGGGTCTCTGGAATTGCATTAAATTTATATTTGGAAGAATTAAATATTTTGTGCATGTCCTGGTGCTGTGTCTTTCCATTTGCATTGATCTTGTCTTATGCTATTTCATAAGATTTTACGTTTTCATCGAGTGCCTTGTGCCTTTCTTGTTAAATTTATCCTAAGTATAACTTTTTCTATTGTAAATGAAAGATTTCCCCCCGTGTGCATTTCTGGGTTGTTCTTGTTGCTGTAGAGGGAACGTACATCACAGTGGTTTTGAGCAGACTCCTGAGTCATGTTGTCTGAAGTTAAATCTGGGTTCCATCACTTACTTTTCAGCCCAGACTTATTAAAATTAAAATGAAATTTAAATCAGAAGTTTGTATTAATGATGTTTTACTGAATCTCTGGTTGTTCCATTGCTATAGTATTCAGTCCAAGGATTATTTCGAACCTTTAATACTTAAAATGTTCTGTAAAATGTTGACCTTGGGTTTTCAGAATCAAGTATTCAAATGCAAATACCAGGTAATAATTTTTAATAAACATTTCATGATTATATAGATCTGCCTTGAGTAAGTTTGGAGATACTGTACATAAATGTTTATTATAATGGTAATATGCATTTCGGTTGTGAATTTTATTACGTTGTTTTAAGTAAGTAAATAAGGAGTAAATAGCATGATTGTAGAGGATATTTTCAATATAACTAATTTTATGACTTAGATTTCAATATTTCTTTAATGCCTCATTTCTTTTTTTGTGTTTTTAAAAGCTGCAGAAGTGGTAAACAAGTCCAGTGTTAGGAATTTAGTAGTACTTGAAGATGGGAAGAATCAGTCACTGGAAAAAAAGGTAAATCATTACAAATATGAATAATTCTAAACAGATAACCCTCACTCATTCAACACATACTTACTAAGTGTCTCCTGTATGCTATGCACTATGGATACAATGGTTAAAAAAAAATAAAAAGGAGTTCTTGTTCTCCAGGAGCTTAGAGTTTAATTTGTAGGAGGGGAAGGGGAAGACAGAAGTGCAATAGATCTCTGCAATACAGTGTATTAGGTGCCATGACAGAAGTCAGTTCCAAGTGCTTTGGGAACAGTAGAAGAAACACCTAACCTAGTTTTTGTGCTATTTTATTTTGCTTTTTCTGGGTGGTGGGGAAAGGAGTCTGGGACATCTTTGTGAAATATGAAAATTATATCTGAGCTGAGATCTAAAGGATGATTAGGAGATAGTCAGCCTAAATATCCCCACCTTTAGAGAATGAGGGAACGACTTTGAGAATATTTTTCAGAATAAAGGAAGAGAGCCTGGAACTTTGGGGTAGTGGAAATAAAGAGAAGTTTAGAAAGTAAGGGGTATAAAATCCACAGTGGGTGAGTTAACGTGATTTGGGCTTGAGGGGAGAGATAAGAAGAGGTCATATCCCCAAAGACCTTGTATATGAAACAGTGGTGGAGGCAGCATAGTGGTTAAGAGAATAGACTGGAGCAAACTACGTTTGTTCAAATCACAGTCTAACTCACTCCAATTTAAACTCACTGTAGTAAAATGGGGATGATAATAGGACCTGCTGCTTGGTTGATGGGATGATCATTTGCCCCTGAAGTGGAGGGAGAAGCATCTTTGACAGAGAAGGGACTATGCAGCCCTTTGTAAGTGAATGGAAATTATCTCTTTCAATAGTGTTCAAACTGTGCTCCTTGGATCCCTAAGGCAGAGGTCTTCAAACCTTTTTGCTCCATTTCTCTCAAAAAAGTTTTGAAAAGCCATGTACCTTCTTACATTTTAAGTTGACAGTTATAATATTCACTGCAAATTTTAAAAGTTTCATAGGACATGATTTCTGGTGTATTGATAATGTTGACATTTTAAAGACATATCGTCATTTAGAATATATCCACTAAAATCTAAATACTTTGCTCTGGCACCTTGATATCCATAATCATCCCTTTAAAAAATACTTCAGCATCATATTCTTCAACAATCCAAATTTTTATATATGCCTTTTTCTCCTTGAACTCCTTTTCTTGTGTACTTCCTCACAGAATTTTTAATGTAATATAATTTTATGCTTGGAAGTCTTTTCTTGAAAACCATTATAATATTTGTCTGCAATAAAAATGAGTATAAATTTAAAATTTCTGTGACCATATGACCAAGTGTTAAAACGTTTTCTTTTGAAATTATTTTTAAAGTACTATTAGTATACAGTTGTTTGAAACAGCATAAATATCATAAAATGTGAAAAATAAACATTAAAAATAAAATTTTATTGTAAATGAATCCTGTAATTCATCATGTCAGATGGATAGACATGCTTTTTCCCCCTTGGTTAGTTTGTGAACCTGTGAATAAGTATTGCACATTGCTAGATCAAGACAGGAAGAGGATTGCTGCTGAGCCATATATATATTTTTAAAATTTTTGGTAGATAGGCTAACATATCAAATAGTTGTGGTGAGTTCATTTTCTCTATAAATGGGCTTTACTTGGAAGTTGTAAATTATTAATCTTCACTCTTATGTACATCTGCAATGTATTCCCATCCACGGCATCTCTCATTACATGCACAATTTCAGTACAGGGGTGTGGTTGGAAACTTTTGAACTCCTGCCTATTCCAGCCCATGATTCAGATATACACTCATACCTGGGTTGAGTAAAATCACTGCTCTAGAAGACGCTATATAATTTTGTTAGAAAGTTTTATGTAGATAATATGAAGCTGTGATCCTACTTTACCTTAGATGACTTCTATCAGAAATTAGTTTGGTTTATATATCTGTCTTATAAATCCATATTCTAATGAAATATTTTCCATTTTTTGATAGAATCTTAATTCTTTTACAAGCCAGACATCAGGATCTTCCATCAAACTCTCTCCTCAATCCTCCAGGATCAGACTCACAGATCAGCTGTCTACTGACCAAAAACAGAAGGACATCAGCTCATTGGCTCCTTCCAGTTGTTTAATTCCACAGTGTAACCAGGAGGCTTCAGTTCTACAGAAGATGGAACATAAAAGAAAATATTTCCTAAAGGAAAATATAAATAATGAAAATAAAGAAAGCATGAATCTTAAAAGAAAACATAGTACATATAGTAATTCATCAGAGAAAACAAGTAAACATATGGCATTGGAAGAAGATGCTGATGAAATTGAAGCCTACCCAAAATCTGGGAACTCAAGAGCATTCAAAAACCATTTTTGTGATATTAGGTATTTGGATGATTTGGAGAAAAACCAGCTGATTGAAATGCTCAAACAGGCAGTAGCCTTGGTGGTAACTCTGATATATAAGGATGGTTCAACCCAGCTAAGAGCTGACCAGGTTAGTAAACAGTGTTGGTTTTTGTTTGTTTGTTTTTTAGCACCATACAAGAAGTCCATTTTCTTAGTGTCTGATTTTGATAGGAGAGCTAAAAATAAGATTTTAAGGCTCTCCTTCTCTCAGTGGCAAGCGAGAGATAGTTCTCATGTGTTTTTTTTTTTTTTTTTTTTTTTTAAAGATTTTATTTATTTTATTTTTTCCCCCCAAAGCCCCAGTGGATAGTTGTGTGTCGTAGCTGCACATCCTTCTAGTTGCTGTATGTGGGACTCGGCCTCAGGATGAACGGAGAAGTGGTGCCTCGATGCGCACCCGGGATCCAAACCCGGGCCGCCAGCATCGCAGCGCGCGCACTTAACCACCAAGCCACAGGGCCGGCCCTCTCATGTGTTTTTTAAGAAACTGCAAAAATACATAGTTCTCATGTGTTTTTTAAGAAACTGCAAAAATGTTTTCTAGAGTGGTTGTACCATTTTATATTCCACCAGCAATATACAAGGGTTCCAAATTCTCCACCTCCTTGTTAATACTTCTGGTTGTCTGTCTTTTTTGTTTTAGCCATTCTAGTGGGTATGAAGTGTTATTTCATTGTGGTGTTAAATTGCACTTCCTTAATAACTAATGACATTGAGCATCTTCTCATGTGCTTATTGGCCGTTTGTATATCTTCCTTAGTGAAATGCCTATTCAAATCTCATGCTCATTTTTTAATTGGGTTATTTGTTTTGGGTTGTTTTATTTTCAATCTGTAAGGGTTCTTTATATATTCTGATAAAAGTCTGTTGTCAAATATATGAATCGCAATTCTCCAAATCTGTGGCTTGTTTTTTCAATTTCATGATGGTGTCTTTTGAAGCACAAAAATTTTTTAATTTGATGAACTCCAGTTTACCAATTTTTTCTTTTATTGCCTGCACTTTTGTTGTTATATTTAAGAGTGCTTTGCCCAAACCAGGTCATAAAGATTTACTCCTGTTTTCTTCTAAGAGTTTATAGTTTTAGCTCTTACATTTAAATCTGTGATCCATTTTGCGTTCATTTTTGTGTATAGCGTGAGATAAGAGCATAAATCTGCCCTTTTGCATGTGGATATCTAGTTTTCCCAACATTATTTGTTGAAGACTCTTCTTTCTCCATTGAATTTTCTTGGAGAAAATTTTCTCATAATCAATTGAAAATCAATTGATTATCTATAAGGGTTTATTTCTAAACATTCAGTTCTTTCCATTGATCTATATGTCTATCCTTATGACAGTACCATGCTGTCTTGATTACTTTAGCTTTGTAGTAAGTTTTGGAATCAGGGAGTGTGAGTCTTCCAACTGTGTTTGTCTTTTTCAAAGACAAAGACTTTGTTTTGGGTAGTCTGGTTCCTTTGCATTTCCATATAAATTTTAAGACCAGTTTGTCAGTTTCTGCAAACATCCAGCTGGGATTTTGATACACATTGTATTGAACCTATAGATTAATTTTGGGAGTTTTGCCATCTTAACAGTATTGAGTTTTCTGATCCAGGAACAGGGGGTGTCCTTTCATTTATTTAAAACTTCAATTTCATTTAGCAATGTTTTGTAGTTTTCAGTGTAGTATACAAATCTTGCTTTACCTTTCATTTTTGAAGGACATTTTTGCTGACTAAAGAATTATAAGTTGACAGTTTTTTTCTTTCAGTAGTTTAAAGATGTTACTCCACTGGCTTCTAACTTGCTTTGTTTCCTACAAGAGATCTGCTGTCATCCTTATCTTTGTTTTTATCTAGGTAATATGTTTGCCCCCCTCTGGCTTCTTTTAAGATTTTCTCTTTATCACTGGTTTTAAGCAATTTCATTATGATGTGACTTGGTATAGCTTTCTTCATGTTTCTTGTACTCAGAGTTTATTGATCTTCTTGGTTCTACAGATTAATGTGGGAGAATTGACATTCTTATTATTTTGAGTTTTGTAGTCTTTGAGCATGGTATGTCTCTCTGTTATTTAGGTCTTCTCTGATTTCTTTCATCAGTATTTTGTAGTTCTAAGCATACAGATTCTGTAGAAGTTTTGTTGATTTCTAGCTAAGTATTTCATTTTTTGGATAGTTGTTATAAAAAGTAATTTCTTTTTTTAAAAAATTCATTTTTACATGTTTATTGCCAGTGTATAGAAATACAGTTGATTTTTGTGTTTTGATCTTGTATTCTGCAACCTTGTTAAACTCACATATTAGTTCCAGGAGTTCTTTTTTGTAGATTCCTTTGAGTTTTCTATGTAGACATTTGTGATATCTGTAAGTAGGGATAGTGTAATTCTTCCTTTCTGATTTATATGCCTTTTATTTGTTTTTCCTGTTGTATTGCACTGGCTAAGACTTCCATTATGATGTTAAATAGGGAGGAGACCAGATTTGGAGAGTAAGGTCATGGGTTTGGCTTTTGGCCTTGATTGTCACTAAAAGAGCTGTTCATTTACAAATTTACGAATTTTCTCTCTGCTTAATTATAAAACATGACATATTTTCCTTAAATAAACACATTGTCTATGTTTAATATTGAAATTTTATTTTATTGTGTATTCACAGGCTCTAGTTTCCTCTGTTAAAGGAATTGTGATGTTACTACAGAGCCACGCAGAAGAAGGCAGTGGTCCTTTGGATGCCTCAGCCTCTTCTGGTGTTCTGGAGGAAGGCTTCACACCCAGTGATCAGTATATCTACATAAAAACAGAGCACGCTTGTATTTGGGGCCAAGAACAAGAGGCACATAATCAATTTGCCAGGTTGGACATCTTCACTCATTACCTTAAATCCTATTTACATGCCTGCTTTATCCTAATTTAAAGTTTCCAAAGCTCCAATTTTATTATCTAAACTTACAGAAGTTTTATATGGGCAGATAAAAATAAAATGGATCTAAGTGACAGAAACCTCTACAAACACTGGCTCTGTCTCCCCCAAAGAGCTTCTGGAATGGAGGTTCCATCCTTCTGTGAGAGCCTGCTGCAGAATTTGAATCAACATCTCAATGAGAAGTTGGTGAGAAAAGTATCATCCCCAGGCCTGAAAACCCAGAGTCACTGCCAGAGTCCCAGATGATGTTCCTCATCACATTCGTTCACTCACTCACTGCATTAGAAAATGAAGTTATCACTGCCTTCAAACAGTAAACTGTCCTCAGTACCGTCAAGATATTACAAATTTCAAAGCTTCATATCTGTGAACATAGACAAGACACGTCTCACTTGGACTTGCCCTCTTAGAATCTTAGAACAGGCAGGGATGCTTCTGTTGCCCCTTCTCAATCCTGAAAAGTCCTGTTGTAGGTTGGAGCCTGTGCCCCTCGTCACCGTTTCTTTGAGCGTGTTGTTAGCCTGGCTGGCGTTTCTGCCTTCGGTGGGGGGTATCCACTTCCTGTCCGCCCAGCCCTCTGAGTTCAGGGTCAGTTAGCTGCCCCGAGGGAGCTCCTTGAAGCCACTGCCCTGAAGAGGAGTTCAAGGAGACCCAGGGAGAAAAGGTGGGGGCCTGGCCCTTCCTGTCTAATATAATCTCACTGGGCCTTGGTGAGTTTTAGGTAATTGTTGTGTGGGTCCTAACCTATTGATAGTGATGCTCTCAGCTAGGAATGCCTGAGGCACTCTCCAGGGGATGTACTACTGGTAGTGAGCCCCCACAGACATTTCCCCGACAGGGGCCAGAGTTGTGGCTGGACCAGCCCTTGTGGTTCTTATTATGATCGCAGGACACACTTGAGCAAAAAACATCAGGGAACTTTGAGGAGCAAGATTTATTTTTCACAAGTCCTCGAGGGTACCTGGCATGCCTGAGGGCCACACAGCGAGGTTCCAGTAGAGAGAGAGAGAGCGTGGACCTAGAACTCTGCCTTTATTAGAGTCTGAGGGTGCGGTGCCTAGGGTTTCAAGGGTTCACTCTTTATTGGCTAATTGAAAGTATAAGAAGGGCCGGCCCCGTCGCGTAGCAGTTAAGTGCACGCGCTCCACTGCTGGCGGCCTGGGTTTGGATCCCAGGCGTACACCAAGGCATTGCTTGGCAAGCTGTGCTGTGGCGGCATCCCATATAAAGTGGAGGAAGATGGGCACAGATGTTAGCCCAGGGCCAGTCTTCCTCAGCAAAAAGAGGAGATTGGCATGGATGTTAGCTCAGGGCTGATCTTCCTCACAAATAATAAATAAATAAAGCATAAGAGAGGGAATTAGGGCATGGTTAAGGGAGAAGCAGGGTCACTCAAGTAGTCAGTTATCTTGGTCACCTAGGGCTTTCTGAAGAGAGACCTTCTTGGATGGGGAAGGCCTAGATCCTTATCTGGTTGGTTTGCTGATAGCTGTGCCATATAGCTGGCAGCGTGTCTATTCAAGATGGATATCTTTTGAGATGGATGCCTCAGCAATTAAAAGCTTAATGTCAGGTACTTACACTACAGTAATTTTGGTGAGAATGGACAGTGTTTGACTAATATGACATTCTGCTCCCAAGAAACCCATAACCTTTCTCTCTCTCTCTCTCTTTTTTTTTTTGGTGAGGAAGATTGGCCCTGAGCTAACATCTGTGCCTATCTTACTCTATTTTATATGTGGGATGCCTGCCACAGCATGGCTTGATAAGCGGTATGTAGGTCCATATCCGGGATCTGGGCCTGCGAACCCCGGGCTGCTGAAGAGGAGCTCACAAACTTAACCACTATGCCACTGGGCCGGCCCCCCATGACCTTTCTTTTACATAATTTTCTTTTGAAAGAACAATTAGGCAGGTATATTCTATGGAAGATCTCTGTGAGAATAGAGCCGTAATATTTGGACGGCTTTTTCTGAATTCTGGATTTATATATCCTACTCGACATCCACTGGGATATCTAATAGTCAGTCACTTCAGCCTTAACATGTGCAAAACTGAGCTCCTATCTTCCCTGAAACTTGCCTCCTACAGCCTTTGTTGTGTTAGTGTCAGCATTAGCCCTCCATGAGCTCAGGCCAAGTCTTGACGTTATCTTTAACTTCTCTCTTTTTTTTCATATACTGCATCTCAGCTCTTAGTGAATCCCATTGGCTCTGCCTTCAAAATACAGCTAGATTCTGACCTACTCTTATCCCCTCTCTTGCCGTTCCAGGCAGGGCTTTACCTCCTGACTGAATTGTGACAAAAGCTTCCAGACTGGCCTCCCGCCTCCACCTGCCCCTTCTGTCTGTTTTTAGCACAGCACCCAGAGAGGTCCTGTTTAAACATAAATCAGATCACCTCACTCCCCTGCTCAAAACCTCCAAAAGCTCCTCCTTCACTCTGAAGAAAAGCCAAAGTTCCTACAACGGCTCTGCAGGTCTGCACCCCCAGGCCCTCTGCTGCATCTTGGTCCTCATCTCCTCTCTCCCCACTCTCACTGCTGTTCTGGAATGTGGGGAGCACACTTTTGCCCAAGGGCTTTGTACCAGCTGTTCCCTCTCCTGCAGTGTTCCCCCAAATATCTGCATGATTCACCACCTCATTCCTTTATGTTTTTCTTTAAACAAACACAAAAAAGCAAATTATGAAAACACGAAAGTAGAGTAGTATAACGAGCTGCATGTACACATCCAGACGGACCAGTTATCAAAGGTCTTTCCATACTTCCTTTATGTGTCCCTTTTTGAAGGGAAGTGTAGGGAGCTGGGGTTAAGGAAAACCCCAGACATGTCATCTTACCTCACATGTCTCAGGATGCAGCTCTAAAAGACATGGGCTTTTTGTTGTTTTTACATAGCCACAGTGCCATTCTCAAAACTAACAAATTTAATACCCAGTCCAAATTTAAAGTTACCCGATTGCTTCAAAAATGTCCTTCTACACTTGTTCTATTGGGAGCAGGACCAACAAGGTCCACACGTGACATTTGGAGGTCATGTCTCTTCCGCATCTTCTAATAAGAGCATCCTCTGACCCCTCACCCCATCTTACAGACTGTTCCACCTCCTGGACTTGCCTGTTTCTTCATTGTGGGATTCTTTAACTGGTTTTCCTTTCCTCCCTATTTTCTGTGAACTGGAGTTTAGTTCTACAAGCTTGATTATTCACATCTAACTTTTTTCACAAGAAAATTTCCCTCGGTGGTGCCATGTGCTTCTTCAAATCATCTGTGATGCAGTTGGGTGGCCAGATTTAGTAAATAAAAATACATGATGCTAAATTTGAATTTCAGATAAACAACTACTTTTTTAGTATAAGTATATCCCAAATTTTGCATGGAACATCCTTACACTAAAAACATCCATCTCTAAAAAATACTCACTGTTTTTCTGAATTTCAAGTTTAACTGGGTGTCCTGTTTTCTATCTGGCTACCCTTTGCAATGCAATTTTGTTGTCCCAATACCATGATGCTGAGGTAGAGCCGTGGATCAGGTGGTGTCAGTGTGATCCCTCCTTTGTAAACTTCCCCAACAAACTTTCCCTTGTGGTTTTGTTTGTCATTGAGGGTCATTGGAATCACCTTTTAATTGTGGCTTGAAGATGGTGATTTTTCTAACTCTATTGTTTTTCCACATTTATTGGCTAAAATTTTCTGTAGAGAACTTTCCTTTATCAACTAGGCTTCACGTCCTTACATAAGTGTTATCAGATCAGACAAGGCCTTGCCTGACCACCCTATATAAAACAGTACCCCCACTCCAATAGCACACACATTCCCTACCTCCCTTCCCTTCTCCATAGTTCTCTAAAATACCACCATTGTCATTCTCTGTCTCTTACCTGTTTGTTTTGTTTATTGTGCATCTACCCCTAAGCTCTCCGGAGGCAGAAATTTTTATGTTTTGTTCATTTTTATGTCTTTACAGCCAAGAACAATGCCACAGAGTGTGTGCTTAATAAATATTTATCAATATTATTATTCAATGAATGAGTATTGAGGTTTAATTTTTATAAGTTCCAGGACAATTAGTTGAAGACATTGACTCAAGTACCATAAAATTGGAAGTAATAATCCCAATTCTACGATGGTGTCTTTGAGATTCAAAGTGAATTTAAATAAATCACATTTAAATTAATACACACATAAATAATTTTTTGGCACAAAACATATTTAGCAACATTTATGAAACACCCATGCAAGGTCTTGTCACATACATGCTCTCTCTTCTTAGCATTAACTGTATGTTAGACCTTATTAATTCCATTTTATAGTTGAGGAAACTGAGACTCAGAGAGGTAGTCATAGGTCATCCTTGAAATTTCAACACAAGCCTCCTTTTTTTTTTTTTTTTTGTGAGGAAGATCAGCCCTGAGCTAACAGCCGATGCCAATCCTCCTCTTTTTTTGCTGAGGAAGATTGGCCCTGGGCTAACATCCGTGCCCATCTTCCTCTACTTTATATGGGACACCTCCACAGCATGACTTGACAAGCAGTGCGTCGGTGCACGCCTGGGATCTGAACTGCAAACCCTGGCCACCGAAGCAGAGTGTGCGCTCTTAACCACTGCGCCACCCAGCAAACCCCACAAGCCTCCTTTTTTTATACTCAAGTCTAGCTTTTTTATATTATAGCTGCCTTTTTGTTTTGTAATTGTGACATAATCAACTTATATAACTGACTTAGAAAGCACATTGTGTTTTAACCACTATCTTACAAGATGTTCTTTTTGTTGTTTGTCTTATCAAGATAGAAACAACTAGCCTGCATCTCTTGTTAGTGGGAGATATTGTAGTTATTAGATGACCTCATTAAGGACTCCCATGTTTCCAGCATACAAAAGCATCGAAGTGGAAGGAAGCTCCAGTTGTCTCCAGTTCTCTGTCATAAACTTGCACCCCCTCTTCCCTTTCCCTCCTGTACACCCCCTCCTAAGTTTGGTAGAGCCAAGACCTGAAGCTGTGCTGTTGACATTTTGCCCTCCCTAGCATCCTTGCCTCTCTCTTCAAGGGACACCAAGCTGAAATCAAACAAGAAAATGCAAAAAGCCTAAAAGTGTCTGTCTGTGGAGCAAGCCAAGCAAAATCTAACTATATGTTGACTCAGTGTGCAGAGCTAATTGGGCTTCTGGTTTCTTTCTTCCTTGGCCATATCCAAAGACCCTCATTAATGTATTAATAAACCATTACCATAATAGGAGATTTATAGCTTGGGCCTTGGCAGCAGCGAGATAGGGTCTCAGACTTCAGCTTTGCTACTTACCAGTTGTGTAACACTGGGAAAATTGTTTAACTTCTCCGAGGCTCAATTTCCTTATCTGTAAAGTGGATCTAGTGCCTGCCTAAGAGGATTGTGATGAGGTTTCAATGCAATAATCCTTGTGAAGTGTGTAGCGTGGTATCTGCTAATGGTGAGTGTTCAATAAATGTTAACTCATGAATCCCATATTCAAGGATCATGATGTAATGGGGAGAGCAAACGTTCAAAGTAAATTACTCTATAGGAAATGTGGTCCCGGCTGTAGCAGGTGTGTGGACGGGAAGGCGTATAGAAGGAGCATAGCAGAGGGGCAACTCCCTGCCCCATCCAGGCCGACCCTCCTGAAAACAGCACTTGAGCAGTTTGCTTGAATTGTGGGAGGAGAGTATTAGGCAAGAATACAGCAAGTGTAGTGGCTCTGGAGTGTGAGGGGATGTTGCACAGTCTGGTGATAGAGGAAAGAGTATTCAATGTGAGCCAAGGGTAGAATGTTTGGAGGGAGTGCTGGGAGAGCAGGCTGGAGAGTTGTGTCGGGGCTGTCTGTAAAGAGTCCAGAATGTGTATGCTCTGTTCAGGAATTTGGGTCTTAGTCTGTAGGTAATGGGGCTTTGCCCGGGGATTGGCTCTGAACAGCTGTGTGACCTTGGGTTCATTACTTAGCCTTTCTGTGTCTCAGCTTCATCATCTGTAAAATGTGGATAATAAGTAATGCCTACTTCATAGGATTTTTGCGTTAATCTATGTAAAGCTCTTAGAAGAAGAATGTCTGCAACATAGTACTGTATAAGTGATAGCTGTTAGTGGAGTAGCAATTTTTTCCAAGGTGAAAAGTCCTAAATTAATGTCTAAATCAGTGAATTTCTTTTCATCTTCTAGGAACGTGCTGTTTCAAACACTGAAATGTAAATGTCCTGTTATTTGTTTTAATGCGAAGGATTTTGTGAGAACCGTGCTGCAGTTTTTTGGTGATGATGGCAGTTGGAAGCATGGTAAGTTATAGCTGGTCGGCTGGAAGTACAGGAGGCCCAGGACTTGGGTCTGGTTCCTGAAGCGGGGACAGTCTTGTGGGGCTGAGCCCTTAACCTACAGTGTCTGCTGTAACTTCAGGTAGTTAGCGTCAGAATTGAATTGTGTTGTTGGACATCCTTCTGGTGTCTGCAGAGAACTGGAGACAGTGGTGTGGAAAACCCACACATGTGGTGTCAGAGGTGGTGTTGGAAAACACAACACAGTACCCATCACTCAGTTTCAACAATTATCAATTTATGTCTAGTCTTTTTTTCTCTATAACTCCCCACATTTCCAAACCCCCACCCCTGGATTATTTTGTAGCAAATCCCAAGCATCATATCATTAATCTGTAAATATTTCAATTATATGACTAAAATATGAGAATTTCATTTTTAAGATGATACTATCATCATCTCCCCCCAAAATTAGCAATAATCTTTTAATATTATTAGATATACAGTGTTTGCCCTTCCCCAATTGTATTTAAATTTTGTTTTTTGTTTTTTACAGTTGTTTGAATTGGCATTCAAACAAGGGTTAGGGTTATCCCATACCTGGGGTAGGTTTGATACATTTCTTTCTTTATTTTTTTCCCCCAAAGCCCCAGTAGATAGTTGTACATCATAGTTGCACATCCTTCTAGTTGCTGTATGTGGGACGCGGCCTCAGCATGGCCAGAGAAACGGTGCTTCGGTGCGCGCCCGGGATCCGAACCTGGGCCGCCAGCAGCGGAGCGCACGCACTTAACCGCTAAGCCACGGGGCCGGCCCTGATACATTTCTTAAGTCTCTTTTAATCTTTATGTTCTATCTCCCTCTGTTTTATGTCCTTGCAATTATATTGTCATTGTTGATAAAACCAGGTTGTTTGTCCTATAGGATTTCCCACAGTTTGGAATTTGTGGATCGTATCCCCTTCTTGCCACTTAACGTATACTTCTCTCTCTTCTATTTCTTGTAAATTGGCAGTTAGATTCAGAGGCTTGATCAAATTCAGACTAGATTTTGGGAAGGCAAGAGTAGTTCATAATCCTAACCCTGGTGCTAAGTGGCATGGTGTCCTTCTGTCACCCAAAATTCCAAATCTATCAACATGAGACTTCCTAGTCATCAAAGAAAAGGTCATGATATGACTGCATTAGTAAACATACCTCTTAGACTAGTATAATCTAAAGATACCAAAAAATATAATTTTTAGTGTGATGTGATCTAAGACTACATTTTTGTTTAAAGGCAAACTCCTTATTTTTTTATAGCACAATTCAAAATGTTAGAGTAACTTGAGAAAAACAATCACTTAGGATTCAAATTTCTCTCTTAATTTATCAACCCCCCATTATCCTTTATAACTCCCCCTCCATGTTTAAAATACTCTGATACTAAAATTTATCTATTTAGCGAATATCATTTTTATTTTTTAAAAAGCACCTTCACATATGTCTCACAGATACTTACAGTGATCTTTTCTCTCAGTTTTCAGATGAGAAAATTAACACTTAAGGGGCAAAATGACCTCCCCGGCTCACAGGGTGGTCTGGCGCCCTGGTTCTTTTCACACATCATGATGCAACACATCTAGTTGTCTTGCTCACAAGATTTTCCTGACATCAGGGTAAATGCCCCAAACGTCAAGCATCTTTGCCCTCACACATATTGCCCAGCCTCCCGAGAGCTCAGTGACGAGGATGCCATCTGCTCAGGCAGCTTCTCATCACTCTTCCTTCTACTCGTGAGACTTAGGTTCCTGAACGTCCTGATGCGATGTAGGGTCAAGTGTGGCCTGGGAAGGCAGCCCAGCGAGAGGCTAGAGGAGGGATGGCCTTGGAAAGAGTGGATTTGTTGACATATGTGATTGAAAAGCTGAATGAGGGAGAGGTGCCTGGGGCAGTGAGAGCCTCCGGAGCAGGGAGCGGGGAGAGAAAGATGGGGAAGAGGAGGCAAGAAGTGTGGCTGAGGATTCTGACTTCAATCTCTTTTAACATTTTTGAGAGATCCAAATTCCAAGTTAGTTTGGAGTCTCCATCCCTTTTCGGCTGTTTGGGATTGATTCCCCGTGGAGATTAGCCGTGTGAGACCAGGGTTTGTGGAAGCTGCTCTTATCAAAGATTCGAAATTCTTTAGGAATGACGGAGCATCCCTTTGATACTTAGCTGTGTAATTTGCGGGGATGGTGATGCTATTATTATTAATTTGAACCTTGAGAACCTTGGAAAAGCAGGGAAAAGTACAATTATTCATTTTTCTTAGAATGATTAAAGGACCTTTTTCTCTTTAGTTGCTGATTTTGTAGGGCTAGATCCCAGAATTGCTGCATGGCTTATAGATCCTAGTGATACTGCGCCCTCTTTTGAAGATTTAGTGGCAAAATACTTTGAAAACTCCGTCACAGTTAAAGTGAGCAGCACATATGGAAATTCCTCAAGAAATATTGTGGTGAGTTATTTTAAGATAAGGTTTTATCAACCTTAATACAACCGTAATTTTTCTCTAGAAACTTTTTCTACTTCATAGATAGTCCAATAGTAAAAGAACATTGCCGACATTCATTTTTACTTATTCAGCACAAATGCTTTTTACCCTGACATTTCTGGTGGAGGATATCGAATAAGGATGGGTGATTTCTGTTCCTTCGTGCAACTGTTCCTGGGAAATCCCATTCACGGTGTGATCCTTCTAAGTGGATTCCCTGGTGTCAGAAAGTTGCCTGCTCCGTGAGCAGAGAGCTGCTTGTTTATAAATTCTTAGTGCTGGTGATGTGGCTGCTGTGGCAGAGAGCCTGGGCCACTCCTCAGTCCACATGGGGAGAATTGTAGAAGCTGCTCCAGGTATGTGTCTCCGAGCCCCCTTCTGGAGTTGCCCCTGATTGTTAAGAACCACTGTCTGGAGCAGCAGGGGTGCTTGCAGCTTTGGAACCCTGCCTGGAGCCTGGTGAGAGGGAGACTTGACATGGTTCCATGGCAGGCCCCAGAGGAGGCGTCCCAGTGGGAGCAGTGTGGGCCTCATCGGGCCACTCTGTTCAGGCTTCCTAGTTGTAAATTAACAGCTACATGTTAAAAGCACAAGTAGAAGAACACACAGAGTGCTGAGGGGGCACAAAGGGCGCAGAGGAACAGGTGGCTCTGTGAGCCTGCCCAATGTGCCGCGCTGAGCTGGGGGATGTTCTCGTCCTGCTCTTTATCCTACAGACCTTCTGTGAGGGAGGGTACTGTGTCAAGGGCTTGGGGTTGAAAGTACAGAAACTTGCTCTCACTTAGTTTAAAAAGAGCTTTGTCAGAGAAATATGGGGCAGCTCACAGACTCAGAGGAGAAGCAGAACCAGGCCTTGGGAAGTCAGCAGCCTGGCGGCTCTGGAGACCCAGGGAGCAGGAGCCCACAGGCCTGGGGCCAGCAGTGAGCCATGACCTTTTGATCTGTGTGTCACTTTTTTCAAGATTCAAAGTTCTAGCACTTCAAGTATCTTGTTTCCCTCACTGTGTCACATGTCTGCCCTTGGCAAGGAGGGTAGGACATGAAGATTAGAAGTCCTGCCCAGATTCCATGCTGTTGGGAGGGAACTTCCCCAAACGGAAGCTGAGATATTACTGAAAGAAGGAGTTGTCCACCTCAGTATCATCAGCCCCAGTCTACAGATGAGAAAACCAAGGTCCAGGCCATGGTTCAAACTTTGGATTTCTGACTCTGAAGTCCACTTTCTTTCTAATATACAAGTGTATGGGTTAGGGATGGGAGTGGCTGCAAGGAGCAAAACACCAGCTACACAGGATGTGTTTGTCCCTGATGAGAACCTGGTGGCCCTCATCCTGGCTGGAGCGACTGCTCACAGTGCTGTTGGACTCTTCCACTCAGCCACTCCGTGAGTGCCATTGCCTTACGGTTCCTCCGAAGCTTCATCCCAGGGCCCTCGTCCACGCTCCAGGCATCAAAGAGGCAGCCTCGGGTGAACTTCTGCTTGTGTCTTATTAGTCAGAAATGTCTCTCTTGTGGAGGCATGCAGTGCAGGAGCGGGTGGGAGATGGAAGTTGGGCCCACTAATCTACAGGATCTGCCAGCTGTGCTTCTTTGAAAAGCTGGTATGAATTGTCCAGGAAAATGAAAAGGTATTCTGGGTAGAGGGAGCAGCATGGAAACAGTAAGGAATTGTAGGAGAATGTGACTCCTATGGGGGAAGCAGCAAGACCTCATATGGTGAAAAGGAAGATGACTGTGGGGAAGGAAGAAGAGACGCAGCAGGGGCTGTGCCACGAAGGGTCTGTGAGCCCGCTGACAAGCCTGATCTTGTCCTAGGGAAGCTTTGGAATTGGACAACTGTTTAAAGTGGGAGTCGCACGGTCAGCTTTGTCATTTAGAAAGCTCATTCAGGCAGCAGTGTTGCTGCTGTCAGATGGCAGCCGAGAAATTTACATGGATGTGCTCACAGTGCCTTCCGACTAGTCATTCACAGAAGAGCCAAGACCAGGAATGACTAAAAAACAAATGCCAGGGTATGTGCAGCCTGCCATTGGCTCATTGTGGGGAATGTTCCTCTAACTTGAGGCCTTCAGCAAAAAAGCTGAGTCTGACCGGCCTAGAGTCTGGAGGGTCATTCAGCAGAGCAAGGTGTTCAGTGGGAGAAGCTGGCGCCCTGGGTCAGTGGAGGGAGAAGTAGACTGAGTGTTGGGGGCTGTGGCTCATCCTGTTGCCCTATTTATCAGTTGAACACACACCCTGTTTGTCCACTTCCAGGGCCTGTGTGTGTGTCATCTAGGGCGAGGATGGACAGAGAGTGTGGAATGTGGTGGTGTGTCTCCTCAACTTGCTTGTGGTTGGTGGAGGCTGTGGGAGTAGAGAGGTCAGGTCCATGTCTTCCTGTCTCTACCACCGTGTAGTCTTTGCACTTTAGGCATTTAGCGTCTTTGTGGTTCATTTCCTGTAAAATGAGGGAAAATTGGGTGGGAGAGAAAGTGTCAGGTGACAGGTAGCTTGCATTTGCACAATAAGAAGTATATTCTGTACCATGGGAATTCATCTACTTGAGGTGATTGTGATGCCACCAGATGCGTCATATCCGCCATGGAAAGACTTGTGCGACGTAGCTAGTAAATATTTTTGTGAGTTGTGTCCCTTCCTAGATTGTAACAAACATTGCCACCAAGTTTGCCTAATTTTTAATTCTTTTGATCTTTTAAAGAATCAGAATGTATGTGCGAACCTGAGGATACTCTACAGACTTACGATGGGCCTTTGTTCTCAGTTGAAGGCAAGGCATTTTATTATAACTTCCGGTTAGCAGGCACTCTTGCTCACTGTTTGTCACAGAGCTGTCTTTCATTCACATCCATACTCACAGGAAGCAATACTCACAGTGTCTTTGAATGTGTAGGAAACAAAACATTGAGTTCTAAGACCAAGTTAACAACGCATCACTCGTAAAAGGGTAGTCCAGATGATAAAACCTGAGGTTGTAAAAATGTTTTCTGTAGGCTGAAAACAATTGCAACATTTTTGAAAAGCCTCCAATTCAATTGGAACGTTTCTAATGCTGCAGTTAACATAAAAGCCAAGAGTTTATTTTACTTAATAGTGAAATGGACACAGCTCCGCTCAGTCAGAGTCTCATTGGGAAGCAGAGGGCATTCAAAGGAACAATCGAGCAGAGTTGAATGAAGGCACTGTGTACTGAGGCAAGAACAGGGGTAAGGGAGCCAGCAGGGGATGGAGAAGCCTCCAAGGGTAGGTACTGGCTGGAAGCTTTTCAACCTCTGGGCTTGAAGGGCAAGCTATTACCAGGACCCTGGGAGAGCAGTGGCCTGGCAGGGGGCTGCTGGTCAGGAGCCAGGTGCCAGAAGCTGTGGCTGCAGGTGGAGGACCACAGCCAGCAGTACACTGTGGGCTGGTGGGCAGGGGCTGGGTGGGAGAGAGGAAACCCACTTCTCTCTCCTTCTACCAGCCCCAAATGGGCAAAACCATCCTGAGAGCAGAGAAGGAGCCCAGGTGATGTGGACTGGAGGGCATCCACCCTTCCTTGGGGGTGAAGAGCAGGGCAGAGAATGGCTCTGGAGGGGCAGGCTGAGAGCATGAGGGAACAATGGAAGAACAGATGAGGCTGAGGATTCTCGCAGATGTCAGCAGGAAACTCTGATAAAGAGCGTGGAAGATGCTCTGAATAAATGGAGAGATGTTTAATGCTGCTGGAGGAGGTGACCTAATATTATAAATATTTTAGTTCTTCCTACATTACTCTATAAAGTCAGTGCAGAATCAATGAAAATGCTAATTAAATTTTTGGGAATTCAGTAAACCTATTCTGAAATTAAAATGGAAGACTAAAAGTCTACAAATACCTAAATCACACTTAAAAGTGAGAAAGATTACAGAATATTGGGAGTGGGGCTTGTCCTACCTGATATTTCTAAATATTTCCAACAGATCTGGGTAATAAAATTGGATACTTGAAGGAAATAGGAGTTTTATTAGGAAGGAGGACGGAGCAGAGGAGTAGCTATTGGGTAGGAAACCAACCATGTCCACTATAGGAGTTGCCATAATTCTAGCTCAAGGAAATTAAATAGGCTTTTCAGCAAAATGCGAATAGAAGTAATAATTTAAAAGTAACATTGATATCATTTCTTCCTATGAAACAGATTTATGGTTTATGGCAACTTTTTTGTATTTTGGAGCTTCCTCTGATACCAATTTTGGCAGGTAAGGTACCATAAAGATGATGTACAGTCATCTTTCTAGAGAATTCTTTACATTGTTGGGAATGACTGTTTCTCTCCTAACTTATTTATGGGTAGGTAGTGTATCATGTGGGCACTGAAGAGGTAGCAAGCCCTTTATTTTCCCTTTCTATAGCAAAAGGGGTTGGACCGTATCACCTCTTGGTCTAGAAGGACTAGAAGGTTCTGACATTTCGGTTATATGGGAGCCCTCTGTACTATCTGGTTCTGCCGAGTGCCCTGGCCGAGGGGTGACAGCTGGCCTGACTCCTAGGCTCCTGAGAGCAGCAGTGTGGGGGAGGAGGCCTGTCTGGATGTTGTTCCGGTCCTGGCATGCTGTCCTTTAACCTTCCCCACTTTGTGACAACCCTCTAGAAGAACTATTGCAGGGCTTTCTTCTGCCTTCACCTCTGTATCCCCCTCTCCCCAACTCTTCCCAGGTCCTGCTGGGTCCCTAGGAGAGCAGAGCCTTGCCCAGCGCTCTGCAGCCGAGCTGGTGGGGGGCAACTCTCCATCCAGAGTGTGGCTGGCCAGTGCTCGTCCCCACGCCTACTGCCACCATTGCTGGGCTCAAATACTGGCCCCAATGGTCACTTTACTGAGGTCAGCACGCAGTAGGTGCTGTCATTATTGTCCTTATCAGAGAGTGAGGCTCACTCCTTGCACTTGAGTCTTTCACAGAAATGATTCATTGATGCAGTGCAAATATTATCTGCTTTGTTTTTTGAGTCACAGTAATGGAAAGCCACAACATTCAGGTGAACAAAGAAGAAATGGAGAGGACTTCAGCACTTCTTGGGGTATGTTATTATTTCAGACCATTTGTACTTGTTAGCTCTCTCCTAGCATGGGGTGGGGTGTAAAGGTCGGAAAAGGCCTCCCTGAGTTCTTCCAGTGGTAGTTCTAGAGTGACTTCCCTTTCTTCCCTTCCTTGTTTGCCCTAGACTGATGCTGCCACTGTTCCTCCTGTCTCTGACTCCTGAGTACCACGCGTTGAAAGGATTAAACAAGCATTACATCTGGTTGTTCCCCCCATGTAGGTGTGTGCATGGTTTAATGGGTCCTCAGTGTCCTTCTCAAAAGTTAGGTTCTTCTTGCAAAGACATTGCCCCCTGTGCTTTGGTGAGGGGAATTCATGGGTTTCTTGGATTCTTTAAAATAGTAAAAACAAAACTTTCCAACTGCGAAAAATGAAAAATGCAGAGGGATGTGTAAAGATGCATGAAAACATGCGTTAAAATGTTGTAAATAAGTTATTTTAAAGGAAACTTTGGTATAACCATCACCTAGCTCAAAGCATAGAGTTCCAGAAGCCCCGTGTGCCCTTTTCCTATCAGAACCCCCTTCCTGCTGCCAAAAGTAACCCCCTTCCTGACTTTTGTCCTCGTTACATTGCTTTTCTTTACAGTTTTCCCACTTCAACGCCTAAACAATATAGTTTAGCTCTCCTTTTGAACTGTAAGTTAATAGTAGTGCCTGACCTCTTTTACTCAGCCTCTGTATCTCAGCTTCATCAATGTCACCGTGTCACTTGGTGCTGTAGTCTTCCATTGTATGACTCTAGCCCACTGTTGATAGGCATCTGGGTTGTCTCCATTTTGCAGTCATTACAAACCATGCTTCACCCTTGAGCATGTCTCCAGGGCCCCTGGGCACATGCTTCTCTGGGGTGTAAGGCAGGATGGGGTTTCTGGGGCACAGGGATGGTATTGCTCAGCTTTATTAAATCACATTGAATTGCTTTCCAAAGGCACACTTACCAGAAGTGCACACAGGGGCCTGTCATTGCACATCCTCATCTGCATGGGTACATCAGACTTTTAATAGTAGCCATTTTGGTGAGGACATAATAGTGTCTTGTTATGGTTTTGGTTTCTATTTTTCTGGTTACTAATGAGGTTGAATAGCTTTTCCTATGATCATTAGCTTTTAGGAGTTTCTCTTTGGTAAAGGATCTGCTCAAGTTTTTTTACCCACTTTTATATTGAGGATTTTGTCTTTCTGTTATTGATTTATAGGACGTCTTGATATATTCTGGTTACAAACCTGTTACATATACCTTCTCCCTCTCTGTCTTACCTTTTTACTTTCTTAGTGGTGTTTTTTGATGAACAAAAGTTATTCATTTTTAATGTAGTGCAATTTATTAATCTTTTTCTTTATGGTTAGTGCTTTGTGTATCCTGTTTAAGAAATCTTTCCTTACTTCAAGCTCATATGAAGTATTCTTATGTGTTATGTTTGAAAGCTATTTTCATTAGCCTTTGCATTTAGGTTTATAATCCACCTGGAACTGATTTTTTCTTTTTAGGTAGAAAGAAATTACATACAGTGAATGCTACAAATCTTTTTTATTTATTGTAATAAAATACACTTAACAAAATTTACCATCTTAACCATTTCTAACCACACAATACAGTAGTATTAAATACATTCCCATTGTTGTGCAACCATCATCACCATCCATCCCCATAACTGTTTTCATCTTGTAAAGTTGAAACTCTATACCCATTAAACAATAACTCCTCTATGATTTTGACTACTCTAGGTATCTTATATAAGTGAATCATACAGTGATTGTCTTTTTGTGACTGGCTTATTTCGCTTAGCATAATGTCCTCAAGGTTCATCCATGTTCTAGCATGTTCTCAGAATTCCTTTCTTTTTTGAGGCTGAATAATACTCTATTATATGTATATATCACATTTTGCTTATCCATTCATCTGTCAATGGATGCAAGCAATTTAGGTTGTTTCCATGTTTTAGCTATTATGAATAATACTGCTATAAAAATGGGTATACAAATATCTCTTTGAGATCCCTGCTTTCAATCCTTTTGGTTATGTCCCCAGAAATAATTGCTAGAGCTTATCATAATTCTGTTTTCAATTTTTTGAGAAACGTTTTCCACAGTGGCTGCACCATTTTATATTCCCACCAACAGTGCACGAGGGTTCCAGTTTCTTTACATCCTTGTCAACACTTGGTGTTTTCTGTTTTTTTGATAGTAGCCATCCTAATGGGTATGAGGTGGTATCTCAATATAGTTTTTTTTTTTTTACTAATTTATTTTATTTATTTATTTATTTATTTTTTGTGTGAGGAAGATCGGCCCTGAGCTAACATCTGCCAATCCTCCTCTTTTTGCTGAGGAAGACTGGCCCTGGGCTAACATGCATGCCCATCTTCCTCCACTTTATATGGGACGCCGTCACAGCATGGCTTGACAAGCGGTGCGTTGGTGCATGCACGGGATCCAAACCGGCAAACCCCGGGCCGCCGCAGCGGAGCATGCGCACTTAACCGCTTGCGCCACCGGGCTGGCCCCTCAATATAGTTTTGATTTGCATTTCATTAATGATTAGTGATGTTGAGAATATTTTCATGTGCTTATTGGCCATTTGTATATCTTCTTTGGAAAAATGTCTATTCAAGTCCTTTGCCCATTTTTGAATCGAGTTTGATTTTTCTTGTTGTTGAGTTTTAGGAATTCTCTATATATTCTAGATATTAATCCCTTATCAGATATATGAATTTTAAATATTTTCTCCCATTCTTTGGGTTGCCTTTCTACTCTGTTGATGGTGTCTTTTGATGCATAAATTTTAAAAATTTTCATGAAGCCCAATTTTTCTACTTTTTCTTTTGTTGCCTGTGCCTTTGATGTCATATCCAAAAAATCATTGCCAAATCCAGTGTCATGAAGCTTTTGTCCTGTGTTTTCTTCTAAGAGTTTTATTGTTTTAGGTCTCACATTTAGGTCCTTGATCCATTTTGAGTTAATTTTTGTGTATGGTGTTAGGTAAGGGTACAGCTGCAGTTTTCTGCATGTGGACATGCAGTTTTCCCAGCACCGTTTATTGAAAAGACTGTCTTTTCCCCATTGAATGGTCTTGGCACCCTTGTCAAAAATCATTTGACCATATCCGCAACGTTTATGTTTGGGCTCGCTTTTGTATTCTCTTGGTCTATATGTCTGTCTTTATGCTCATATCACATTATTTTGATTACTGTGGCTTTGTAGTAAATTTTGAAATCAGGAAATGTGGGTCCTCTAGTTTTGTTCTTTTTTCAAGACTGTTTTAGCTACTCGGTGTCCCTTGAGATTCCGTAAGAATTTTAGGATGGATTTTTCTATTTCTGAAAAAAATGTCTTTAGGACTTTGATAGGGATTGCATTGAATCTGTAGATCACTTTGAGTAGTACTGACATCTTATATTAAATCTTCCAATCCATGAACATGAGATGTGTTTTCATTTACTTATGTCTTTTTAAATTTCTTTCAGCAATGTTTGGTAGTTTTCATTGTACAAATCTTTCACCTGCTTGGTTAAGTTAATTCCTAAGTATTTTATTCTTTTTGATACTCTTGTGAATGGAATTGTTTTTGTAATTTCCTTTTCAGATTGTTCATGTGTAGAAATGCAACTGATTTTTGTGTGTTGATGTTGTATCCTGCTACTTTGCTGAGTTCAAAAAATTCTAACAGTTTTTTTTTGTGAAATATTTAGAGTTTTCAACAGGTAAGATGATATCATCTGCAAACAGAGATCATTTTACTTCTTCCTTTCCAATTTGGATACCTTTTATTTCTTTTTCTTGCCTAATTGCTCTGGCTAGAACTTCCAGTACCATGTTTAATAAAAGTGGTGAAAGTGGGCATCGTTCCCTTGTTCCTGATCTTAGAAGAAATACGTTTAGACTTTCACCATTGAGGGTATGATGTTTGCTGTGAGTTTTTCATTTGTGACTTTTATTTTGTTGAGGTGGTTTCCCTTTATTCCTAGTTTGTTGAGTGTTTTTATCATGAAAGGGTGTTGAATATTGGCAAATGCTTTTTCTGCATCAATTGAGATGCTCATGTGGTTCCCCTCCTTCATTCTGTTGATGTGGCATATTACACTGATCAATTTTCATATGTTAAACCATCCTTGCATTGCAGGAATAAATCCCACTTGATCATAGTGTATAATCCTTTTAATATACAGCTGAATTCTGTTTGCTAGTATTTTGGAGGATTTTTGCATCAGTGTGCTTAAGGACTATTGGTCAGCAGTTTTCTTTTCTTTTTTTTTTTTTTTTTAAAGATTTTATTTATTTATTTTTGCCCCCAAAGCCCCAGTAGATAGTTGTATGTCATAGCTGTACATCCTTCTAGTTGCTGTACGTGGGACGCGGCCCCAGCATGGCGGGAGAAGCGGTGCATCGGTGCACGCCCAGGATCCGAACCCGGGCCGCCAGCAGCAGAGGGCGCGCACCTAACCGCTAAGCCACGGGGCCGGCCCAGTTTTCTTTTCTTGTAGTGTCTTTGTCTGGCTTTGGTATCAGGTAATGTTGGCCTCGTAGAATGAGTTGGAAAATGTTGCCGCCTCTTCAATTTTTTGGGAAAAGTTGAGAAGGATTGGTATTAGTTCTTGAAATGTTTGGTGGAATTCACCAGTGAAGCCCCTGGGTCTAGGGCTTTTTTTTGTTGGGAGATTTTTGATTACTGATTCGATCTCCTTACTACTTATGGGTCTATTCAGATTTTCTGTTTCTTCATGACTTAGTCTTGTAGGTTTTGTGCTTCTGGGAATTTGTTCATTTTATCTAGGTTATCCAGTTTGTTGCCATACAGTCATTTATAGTACTCTCTTATAATCCTTTTTATTTCTGTGGAATTGATAGTAATGTCCCCACTTTCATTTCTGATTTTAGTAATTTTTTTTCTTAGTCTGTTTAGCTAATAAAGGTTTGTCAATTTTGTTGATCTTTTTGAAGAACCAACTTCTTGTTTCATTGGTTTTCTCTGTTGTTTTTC